GAACATATCCCAGTCTTCCCATCAAAAGTTGACGACACATCTTGAAAGCTGCCTTGCAAAAATGACTAATATTTCAACAATAAACCAATATAACTGCTTAAGAAAAACACAGGAGTGACCTAGCACTATTATTGTTTATCTGTTTAATTATTTTTAACTTAATTAAATGACTAAGCAGTTAGTTATACCACAGATATATAGGAATTTGGATATTATTATAATCAATTTTATGGATACCTTAAAAAAATATGTATGTTGCAGATTTCTGAGAAAGGATGAACCAGTTGTCAAAAAAAAAACCCTCCTGTTTAAGGAAAATGTGGGCCCACAACAACAGACTCTCAAGTAAAGGAATTTATCTTTTAATAAGGTCACGTGTGCATCTCCATTAGCTGCTTCAGAGAGTGTGCTCTCCCATTCCTGGAATTCCCTACGTGGCAACGGGCCTCTATTCCCCCAGTCACAGCAGAATCAAGGGAGCCGAAGAAGCAAATGGTACATACTGTATTATATTCAGCTTTGAGTGATTGCTCTTATGATTTTTATATTCCTAGAAATGTTACACATTATTAAGAAGACAGATGCTTCACAGAGTATGGAAGGACACTCTCTAAAAACACAGGTTAGAGAGATCATTGTTATTATTACTTCTGCTGAGAGCAATACTTTTCCGTTAAGGAGTGATGCAAATGAACTTGGATATAAAAGACACAATATGTTGGTTATTGTTTCAGAGCTATTAGTGAGAGAAGCTGAGAACTGGAATATTCTTTTATCATCCTTCTATAAAACACTAGAGTCAAAGTGGGATTGGAATGGGGTTTGTAAAGACTTGAACCCACGGGAGGAATACCAAAGCAGAGAAGCTACCAGCAAGCTGTACTGTGGGAGGGCTGGTGGGTCACTGAAAGGAAGAACAGTATAAACGAATGTGGAAAGGAAAGATCTGCAGGTAAAACCAAATTTGCAGATGACAAGAAACAAGCTAGATTAATACTGATGCAACAAAAAGAGAAAGGTAGGCATGTAGATGCAGGAAAACATGGCAAATTAAAAATATGGGAAGTTTCTCTATACAAAATATTAGCTGTCAGGTGACACCTAGTTATAGACACAGATATGAAGCCTTAATTATGTTGGCTTCTCTTTCCTGATCCTTGTATAAAATTTATCCTGGACATGAAGGCTATGGCCCAATTGTACAAGACCTTCAATATCACAAGATGTTCACAATTGCTGTAAAGAGAAGTCAAAGACAGAAAAAATAATGGAAGGAGCAAGAAAGTTTATTCCACTGTCTTTGCCCAATGAGTAGCAAGAAGAGATAAAATAAGTTACAGTCCTTTGGAATATTAAACATTGTTCACATATTGAATATTTAATCTGGTTCAGTTCAGTTCTGTTTCCACAAGCATACTAAAGCCTAGTTTTTAACAAAATCTTAGCTGAATCTTTGAATGTGAAAAATTATACTGAACATCCACAAAAAAATACAGAAGTGCGTGTTTTAGGATTTCCTCACTTGTATGCAAAACTAAATATCTCAAAATATTTTTTTTTCTTTTGTGGTCTCTCTTCCTATTTGATCCCATCTATGAAAAAAAAATACGTATTTATTTAATGTTAAGTTTGAACATCAAAAAATGCTATTCTCAGGATGTGGCAGTTCATATTTTATCTGAGTAGGTTCACCTATTTCTGAATATCTCTAAACACAAAACAGAAGAGCGAGGCTAAGAATAAAACAACAGGAAGCATATATGCACCACAGCCAGTAGTATCGAGAAGAGACTTCAGATGCAATGTAGTGTGCCAACCACCAGCACAGCTTTAAAATCAAATAACGTTGCCACATATCCAGTTCTGCCATCACTGCTCACAAAAAAATCGGTTCAGATATTTTCTATTTTATTTGTATATACAGTAGAAGCATGAATTCTAGCCAAATGAGGAAAGTGGGGTCTGCCTTCCAAGAGACAAATGAAAGCCTGAACACTTCAAAGCTGGCGTGTTTTGTTCCCACACCTGAAAGCTAAGTGAAATATCCCCTTTTACAGCACAGTTGACCCACTTCTGCTCAAGGGACTTTAAGTGATAAGAAGCCCAGCATGAAAGACACACCTGTTGGGGTTCTTTTAAGTTCCTTGTTGAAATGCTGACACAGGTATAAATATGCTAAATGTATTATCAAAATATAACAAGGTGGTACAACAGAACACTCTTTTAAATAATGCTTTAAATTAAATCCACATTTATGTTAACCATGACCCCCACAGATACATCAAATGAAGACTGCAGTTAATTATTAAACAGTGAAACCGTTTTGAAGGACAGATATGCTGTGCATCAAGGCCATACATTTAAAGAACTAGATAGTTTATAAATCCGAGATAATAAACATCAAATGAATCATAGTGAGTGTGCTGAAGTAGCTACGACTGTCAGCTGTTACTTCATCGGCAGCAGTTCTGTACTTTTGGGTAGTGTGGAATTTTCTTGATATAGAATCAAAACTAAATTTTGAACCATCCAGTGACATGATTTAGAAATACTTAATGCTTCTGGATTTCCAGCTGTTTGTTCCTGGTGTAACCATTTAACACATTACTTGGACCAGCTGAACACTCTCCATACAATGAACAGTCACATTTCTGCTTCTACACCTTTGTCACCCCAAATCAAGGACATGAACCTGAAGTTGCATTTACAAAATAAATATTCCTAAAGGGACTTCACTGCATAAATAAGGGACAGTAACAGAAGATAGGAATAGGCAAGGATCTTATCACATATGTAGGACTTTGAATATGTAGATTTACTTAGACTCCTGAGAATTACCAACTAGTCAGTGTAATGCCAGCTGTATAGCATTTATTTAGTACGGTCTTGTAGCTTATTCATTTTAACCAATGCTGAATAGTTTCAGAAAAAAAAAAAAGGTAATTACTGGTCTCAGTATTTTCTCATCCCAATTTAGAACAAAGAATCAATTACAAATTTTTAAATGATCTTATCAAATGAGAGCTGTTTGAAGTCAATCCATAGTCACCCTAGAAACAAAATGAGAATATAGTTATTCTTCCCCAAATTTGTCTTTGCTGCTTCTAGATCTAGCTGTAACGCACGAAGACTGGAAAGAAAGAATTAAAACATTTTTTTTGTCATTCTGTTTGTGTTCATACATATCTGAACCTGTATTAGATATACCTTTCAAGTTTGATTTGACTTAGTTTCCTTGCTGCGAAGCTGATCAAACTAAGTCCTTACATAAAAATCACCTTGATTTCAAAAGGGGTTAGCGCAAAGAGAAAACTGAAAGCCTAGGCCTTAGAGCAGGGGGCAAGAGGATTTTGTGTACATTATACATATATTTATATATAAAATAATTTGTACCCACTTTTCTGGGCTAAAACAATGGTTTACAGGAATGGTCACTAGGCAAGACAGAAAGTGATACATTTTCATAAACATTTTCAACCTATTAACTTCATGCAATTTTGCACTCCCCTTATTGATGCTGAAGCTATGAAAAGACATAGTACACACTGGATAAAGCAAACTTTCAGCATTCACACTCCATTAATTAATTCATCACCTAAAAGCTAAGTATTGATTTTTTTAATGGCTCTACAAATCTGTTTAAGCTACTATGATGTAATTAAGTAGACGTGTTTACTGTAAATTATCTAACAAGTACAAGGGCTGTGCATTCCGCAATAACAAAAATTTTAGCTCAAAGCAGACAACAGGGAAAAACAACTGTTTGAAAACATTTTTCCACTAATTGCATAAACTGCCATGATTATTGTCAAGCTGGATTATTTTAGTAAGTGTCTCCTATAGCACTAAAAATAGAAAGATCTGATACTCCTTCCACTGAAATTAACAAGAGATCTTGTGCACATTCAGTGGTGGGGAGTCAGTTACTTAATTAACACAGGTGCCCGCAAGGGTGGTGAATTAGAAATCTCAAGCCAAGCCTTACAGAAAAATTACTATAGTGCATGGACTCATAATATATTCTACCCAAAATAGTAGCAAATAGAAGAACAAAGCTATAATTCTCACAGGTGGCATCTGATTATCCACTAAAATTATACTAAAGAAGTCAAACTAACACATGAAATTGATGAAATTGATATTAAATTTTTCCATTAGAAGCATGAAGACTTATGGTTAAATGCATAATGGTGTGCAACACGTCTTGTGTGAGCCTGAGAAAAGCCGCAATCAAGCCAACCACTGATGTGCAGACTATATAAACAATAATAGAGGAGCAACTTAATAAAGAGCATAGACATATCTTGTTGCAAATACAAGTAGATTTCTTACCTTATATTTACACTGCAAAAATTAAATATGCAGAGTGCATCATTATCACTATCAATTAAAAAAAAAAAAAAAAAGGAAAATGAGGCAGGGAAGAAGGGGGAGTTGTGATCACAGATACCAAAATGAGAAACTTAAGATTTAATGCTTCAGGGGATAGGGGGGAGCAGAAATTGTACAAGATAGATCTCTTATTGATACATTAAGAAATCAGTATAGAAAGGTCCACGAGACCTTGACCTCTGTCCAAACTCCGCAACCCCTTCAACCTGAGAAGACATCCTGCAGCTATCTTTGCCTGCAAATCCCTAGCTTTCCAATTACGTGGAAAAAAAAATATTATAGCCATGTATACCTCTACGACTGAAATGTGGAATGCATATTTTATTGTATAGCAGCCTCCAGAGGGAGGACTTCAACAGTTCTGTTAAGAATAGTTACCAGTATTACTCAGTTTTCAAATGACATCGAACTGTTAATGGGAGAAGGGAGGATATCTGAAGGTACCAATCAAGCAGAGATAAAAAAACACCAGTATAATCCAGCTATGTCTTTTTATAACATTAATTAGCAATAGAGCTTAGATTTTTAAAAATAAAAAATGCATCAGAATTTTATTCTTAGTAGCAGAAATGCAGAAATTTCTAAATATTTAATAACAAAAGCATGAACATATTTTTTTTTCAACATTGTATTTTAGTTGAAGGATTTTCCAAACAGTATACTAAATTTTTTTTTTTTTTGCTTTGCTTTGCAACTGTAATGAAATTTTGCATAATCAGCCTTTTTCTCCAACCTAATGTTCCACATTTACTGATGGGAGCAAAAGAGGAGCTGATTTTTACTCCAGTAGGGCTCACAGGGGACAGGCATCTCAATATTCAGAATCCATTCTCTTGAAGGGTTGGGAAAGACACCAGCTAGCTAAAAGCAGATCCAGTCTGTGACAACAGAATAGAAGAAAACATGAAGGTAATTATTATATGTGTGCACGGCACAAAGTGTGAATCAATAATTAAAGAGTTAATTATCCTACCAGTTATGGATACAGGCTGGGGATTAATCCCTGCAAATAAGCCTAGAGACAATTACACTCCCTGCATGCAGCATGAGATAACCAGCCCTTCACTGGCTGCACAGATGGGGATTCACAAAAGGTGCTAGGCTCCCATGAGGTAAATAATTTGGAAATGATCGGTGGCGACACACTGCAATAACCAGTGGCAATACAGTAATGTTCTACACCTCTGTATGTCCAGATTGAGAATCCTGTAATAGTGATAATAACATAATGTTAATGCACCCTTTCGCAGAAAACAAAAATTAGTACTACTAAGTGAATCATAACGGGTGATAAGACAATTAATTCACCCTTTTGTCATTGTTGTATGTTGAAAGCCTTTCTTTGTGCTATAAAAAGTGAGCCATAGGTTTAATCAAATCATAATATAGGTGATCTGGAAAATTAGTAATTTTTAAATGTTTCAGAATTCCTTTCAGAATATATTTGTCTGCCCATTTTAAAATCCCAGTGCAAAACCAGCAAATGCAAAAGGGAAAACAGACACACTGTAGTTGAAATATACCTCAAGAGACCACCAAATGAATTAATTAATTAATTAATGGCTTCAACTTCTTATCCTTTGCCTGGTTTTGACAACTTTACATAAATTGTATAGAGAAGCTCTTATTTTTGTCTAATTTCCAAATGAAATGTGATGTATATACAGCCAAGTATTTTCAAAGTGTTCCCAAGTGTTTTAAAATTTATTAGCCAGTTTCAGTTAGACCTGAAGAGGAGAGAAGGTTCAAAGACAGTGAAGATGATGTCCTCGAAGATGATGGACAAAAATCCATAAGGAAACAGAGCTCACTAGTTTCATGGCTTACAGAACTGTTTACCTAAGGATAGGAATTAATTGTTGAGATTCAAACTCTTCTTGACAAAGCCAGAGGCCTGGACTGTCAAACGCAGTTCCTATGGCAGCAGACTAGAGCCCACAGCAGAATCTGGTTTTGGCATTATATAACCCTTGAATTAAAAAAAAAAAAAAAAAAAAAAAAAAAAAGGTTAAATACAAGCTGGTTTTGCTTTGTATGTGACATTCTATGTATTACTCACTATTGCCAACCTCAAGCTTTTGAAAACCATGAGTCAAGCCACAAAACATCATGAGATTAACTGTAACATGAGTTACTGAAAAATAAATAAATACATTTGTGTGGTTTATTTGCCTTTTAATGCAGGGTGAGTTCAGGTCATGTTTTTGAAGCTTTTCTCCACAAACACCGAGGCTACAGGCTCGCTTTTTTTTCCAAGTGGATTTGAGGTAAGAAACCATAGGACTTGGTAACACTAACACTTTTCAAACACCGTCTGAAGCTACACTGACTGTGAGGGGCTTTCACGTCCCCCTCCATAGTGGTGGTGAAGGCCAGTTCAATGATTACTGGGATATAGTTGGGTGTACAGAGAGCCTCAACAGCAATAGGTCTGTGGCGAGGCAAAGGATATATAAGACCCTAGTGACCAGGGTATCCTGCCACCAAACAAGTCCTGAATATCATGGTTCGAACAGATGGGCACACTTATGAGACATCTCACCTCCGCACTAGATGAGTGTTGGCCATGCAAAGAAACTGCATTAGGCCAAGGGATTTTCAGCTACAATGACTCTTTCCAAAAACATTTTTCTGCAGTTAATCTTCATTCTTCTCAAAATATTTAGGCATTTAGAAAGAAAACATGAGCTTTACCCCTAGAAATTACATAGGACAAGGTCTAAATATGTAGATATAAATTGCGTGTTATTGCATCATGTTCAGTTTGTCGGGAAAGTTCTCACCTTCTCATGCAACAAACACAAACCTTCCTTAACTTCACTAGCTTCCTAACTCTTTTTCTTATGGCTGATATTAATGACATCAACATACAGCATGCAACAACCAGCTTCTTATATCATTGCTCTATACTCACACTGTTCAGACTCCACATTTAAACCTGGGACATTCTAACTATTAACATGCATCACACAGAGTCATTCTTATTTTCTTCTTCCTGTGCTCCTTCTTGGGTGGCATAAATTAAAAATAGTTTTGGGGGGTGTTGAGATTAAAACTACTCCACAGAGGCAGTTGGGAAAAGTCTCAGGAAATACTTTATGGGGTTGTTTTTTTTTTTTTTCCTTGATTACTTTTTGTGGGCGTAATTTCTATTCATCAGAACCAAAACTTCTGTGGGAATGGACCGCACCTTTTCAGCTACATACAAAGTGTCAGCTCAAAGAAAAGGAGACTGCTGCACACAGTGAGAACAGCTACACACACACTGCTCAGGGAAGTTATCTGGAGCATCCCACTGCAAATGTCAGATCTGCTTCAATCAAAGTGGGGAATTTTAGCTGAGGCAACATCCTAGGCACCGCTTTTTTTTTCTAGCCTACAGAGTCATTTAAAATATCAAAGTGCAACAAGGAAATTTCTGAAGTTTGAAAAACTTAGCAGGATAAATTTGCCTTTTCAACTCTCACAAACCATTAACTTGCAGATTACCAATTTAAGATATTTACCAGCTTTTGGATTTATACCTGTTATATCAGTCATCCCTGTTTGACATAAATTCAGCATCAAGAGACTGGGTTTTACTCTGGAATAAATACTGTTTCCAGAAACAACATTAAGAAACTGTACCTCTTGTGTTGTTCTAGCTCCTGAATTCTATAATTTGCTCTTTTGCTCTCTTTTAACTTCCAGCTTTACCTAGAAACCTCCCATTCCTATATCTTGTAGTTCTCCATTACATTTTCCACCAGGAGTGCTTAACCTGCAGGCCAAACCCCGCACACCAAAATTATGTCACTAGCCTTTGACGGACTGCCCGGCACACTCTCTCCCAAGAGCCTCATGTCCTCTCTACCATCACCTTGACCAAAAGGCAGGCATGTCCTGTTTTGTATCAAGGACGTGTACATATAGGTAGCAACAGTAAATGAGCATGACACATCAGGTAAAAGGCATTAATCCCACTCATCTCCTGTATTTTGTCACAACGGTGCTTTCGGGTGGCCCCTACACACGACTTCACACATCTGAACACCCCCATCGTACAGCCGGGTACGTTTCAGCTGGCTGTGTGGCATCTGGTGATGGGACAGCCACATGCTAAATCCTGATACACTCCATCTTCCAGGAAAGCCAGAGAGCTCTGTCAGCACTGTGTTATACATTTTTCTTTGAGAGAGATTAATAAAAAGGAATGGATAGAAACAGGAGAAATGCATCGAATTTGTGCTTCCACGGAAGTAGAATAAGGTCAGCTTATTCTAGAGTGCTTCTAGAATAAAATACTTGGTGTCCACAGGTGAAAGAACAAGCAAGCTTCCTTTTCTGATGGGCTATGGACTAGGGCCTCACAATTTCAGTTACAAAAAAATGTAAAGAACTAGAATAAAAGTATTTTAAGGCACTTTAGCAGTCCAGGAGCAGTATAACCCACTGCCCTTGTGTTATACAATCATATTCGCCCACTATCTCAACTAGTGAACTCAAAATCTCCATCACCAGATTGCAGCACAGAGCCACCTGGTAGCAAAGGAAAATTCCAACGAGAATGGAGCCCGGGGAGCCCACAGTGCTGCCAGGGGCATTGCCACAGACAGGGAGCTCTTGCATTTTGGCACCTTCTTTGTTTTCAGTGTTCCAGCTCTGCTTTTAATGTATAACTCAGTATACGGTTCTGCATTGTTGGTATGCCATAGCAAAACTGTATGAAGAAGACTGCAGAGGCTATTCTTTTAAGCTTCTTCAAAAAACACTTTGCTAAATTCAACCATTAAAAACACCAAATATTTTTGTTTGTTATTTGAAATTAAATTCCAGCTGGTCTAAGAAACTCTATCTGTCTCTGGTTTGTTATGTCCAAATCCCTGGTGCTGTTGTAATTCTTGTAAACACCACAAATAGGTTTTTACCAAAGTCTGCTGCTGAAGAAATGACAAACCACTGTAGATTCATAAGATGAGTGTGTCATTGTTAACTGCAGTTGCAACACCAAAAAAATAACTGTGGTAAAATTGTATTTTGGAGATCAGTGCAAACAATGAAAGCTTCATTTAACATGCTTCAGTTTCATCTTATTGAGGCATTTAACTGGATGGAAGGGGTGAGAAGGGAGGGAAGCTTACCTTCAGGAAAAATTCATACATGCCAGTGTATCAACTGTATCAACTTTCAGAAAATTACGTGTGTTTTTACATGTAGTGAAACAAACTGAAATTTGATAACAACAAAAAATAGGCATTTTTATATCAGTAGTTAATGACAAGTGTATTGTAGTAGTTTTACACTGGTGATTCTTTCTGTCCTGAGATTTCATATTTGTATGGCTGAGCTGTCATGTGTTCACAAATAGGAGCTTCAAATTTTCTTTTAGGTTTTGCATTAGCACATACAGAAGTGACGCCTTAGTATAAAACCATATGGTCCAAGAATAGAGTGGGGTAACAATTCCCCGGGGCTCTGATACAGCTCCTCATTTTTGTTTCAAAGCCTTTGATTTGCTTCAACCTGTTATGCATATGATTTTGTACCACATTACTTCTTTTGGTACTCTTTTCAGATAAATATTTCTAGGCCTACTGGTGATTTATAGTAAAATCTCAAAATAAACACATTTGTTTTCCTTGCTTGCCACTATATTATACTGCTATGACAGACTCTCTATTATTCAGCTTCAACCAATTATTTTTTATTTGTCCATTTGACTATCTCAACACTGTTGGGTAGATTTCCTATCTAAAATATATTTCCCTCATTTATCACAGAAGTCTGAATTTAGCTGAATTAATATGGGTGATTTAGCCTTCCCTAAAGGAAATGTATAATACTTTACAGAAATAGTGTGGCTTTTTATATAAAAATCCCACTATAAATCATAGCAAACTAACTTGGATATCCTGCTTACCCATGACAAACAACTAACTCAAAATAGCTTTACCCATAAGCAAATACACATGTACATGGGCTGCTTTGTCTTTTCTTCACCTGTTTCTGCATGAAAACAGTGTTCATGGGAAGTGCTGGAAGGGCAGACTTGGAAGCACAAATCCTAATTTTATCTACACAGTCAACAGAACAGTGACTGCCATAATCGTGCCTTTGCAGAATGAGCTCGATGAAGGAACGGGCAGCCCCTCCTGTGTGCCCTCTGCTCCCCCCCAAGCCCTCTCCCAGCCACCCAGAGCCTGTTGCAAGGGTAGCTGCTTACCTCTAGGTACAAAACCAGGCCAACTGGCTATTCTGTTCTGACAGAAAATTTTGACTGCTTTTAACTTCTCTTTTTCTCTTCCTGAGCTTTCCCTCTCACATTTCCTAGTCAGTGAATAGATATACTGCATCTCAGGGTGCTTAAAACATAGCTTTCCATCTTGAGCTTCAAATTCCCTGTCTTTGTTTTAAAATCGTGTCAACTTCTACTTCCCTTCAGTGTGAGATATCAGCCTCTATCAGCCACTTGTTTGGAAACTGAAAAAACAACAGTTTTATCTTATGCTGCCCTTCACATATAAGAGACTTCCTGTCAACACCAACAGCACTTACGCATTATCTGTTTTCACATCTCACCTTGAAAATACTCTTTGCAATTATGTGCAAAGCCAAAACAAAACAAAAGAAAAAAACCCAAAAGCAAGTCAATTTCAGAGACAGGAAAATAAAAGGCCAGCAAATGGAACATAGAAATGTTTAAGATATATAATGGCTATTTCTAGAAAAAAAAAAAAAAAAAAAAAAAAATGGATGTGTTTGGTAAAAAAGTACAGGGAAAAGAGATATCTTGTCAATTTCAAAAATCACCACTCTCAATCTTCACCATCTCTTCTCTGTCCTTCACAAAATGCTAACAATTAGGGTGTATCTTCAATCTCCTTTTGTAATCTTGAACCTCTGAGTTTCATGTCTTCTCGCATTCCTATACTATAGTAAAGGCTAAGAAGTTAATTTATTTTTCAATTAAAAGCAATATCACAGGACTCCAGGAGGGAAAACTTTAACAAAGGCATCAAATAGCACAAACCTCATGATACAAATAATCAGATTTACTATCACAGGAGAATTAGAAAATGGTCTGTCTCACACTGATGTCTGGAGTTAGTTGTTTGCCTCAGCTCATAGGCTCTCTAAAACAATCTGACCTACATATTCCTCTTCTTTTTTCTAGGCCTCACTGAGAAGACAGAGTACAGTACTATTTTGAGGTTCACTGGGAGGTTAAAAACATGGAGAGCTATCTGTAAGTGTAGAAAGAGCAAAGTCTATTGTGTAAACATTTACACTGCGAGCTGACCTTCTTCTGACTTCAACTGCTAAAGAGACCAGGGTATGTTTTGGGGCAGGAGTCCAGGAAGCTGAGTGGAGTGGGAAGATAAAGAGTGGGCCACAGATGGATGGGGCAGCGGGAAAAGAGATGGGGAATGCTTCCTCTGGTCCGTGAAAAGGACCGTACAGCTTTGGAAAAGGATTGCATGCCACTGTGCTCTGAGGTGAGCCAGGGACCAGATCCAGAGACCCAGAAGTTCCTTTGTGTGCCCTTATCAGGATAGTTTCTTAGAAACCCAGGAAGACAGAGCACCTTGAAGGTGCAGAGGTGGAGGGCATCCCAGGGGCATGAGGTAAGACTTGCACTAGACCATCCTTTGAACTACACAACCACAGTTGGGATCCTCTGAATGATTCCCAATTCAGGGACTGGAATTCTCCTGAAATTAAGCTGTGCGGTTGGATCAGCTGCCTAAGCACGGTATCATTTCAGATGCCCAATGGCATCCTGCTGCCAATTCAGAAAACACGTGTGTATTTAGGGGGCGTGGGACTGTGTCTTTTGTAGGTCTCACAGCTCTTCTGTCAGCCCCATGGAGAAGTTTTAGATGCCAGGGTGCCTCAGATGGCACCTGACATGTTCCAATCTGGAGCTGGCTACAAAGCATAGTGACTTCCAGAAGGCTTTGAAAGCCTACAGACTGATATATGTGATATACTAATATATAATATACAGCCTGTAATACATTAGAGAAATTATTTCTCATATTTTTCAGAAATATGAACACTGAGGACCTGCTTCTGTTGTCCACACATGGCATATAGTGCCTAGGATATTTAAGATGTCATATCTAAGACATCCAGATAAGAAAGCAAATATTACACAGGACCTGAAAGAAATCTATGACAACCTGTCTGTGAGCCAGGTAGGAAACTTTAGGGTAACACAAAACATGGTAGATGCCTCTTATTGAGCAACTGAATGTTTTTTTTTTTTAATGTAGAAATTGGATGCATGTTGGTTAACTTTAACAGTGACCCCTCACCTAACCCCTAATTCCTGCATGCTTGGTGTGATGGGGTGTGTGGTTTGAGATGGGGATTGGCAAGGATCTATGCTAGTAGTACACTAGTGGTCTGTAATTTACTGACAACTCAAATGAACTGCCAGCCCCAAACCACCGGATAATTGACATTTCCCGGTCAAAACAAGACAGCAGATTTTGTGTAGGTGTGGGCATGGGAACAGTATGTGGAGAGAGATCTGTATAACTTCCCTGCTTGTAAAATAAGCAACACATCACCAGTCTATTAAGGACAGTGATGATAATATGTGTGACATAACTTCTGCTTACCTTATCTTAGAATTTCTTCTATGCACATCAAAGAAAACTCTACAGATACTTCACCAGGTAGCTATAAAAGACCCTAGGAAGTGAAGAAACAATGAAGTTGTAAGAATGTTTTGCCCAAAGCTGAGGCGCTGTTGTATGTCCCCAGAGAATGAGCTTACACTGTAACATGAAATCCCAGACACTACTTCTTCACTTTTCCATTCTTGCTTGGAGTTTACATGCAAAGACACATTTTCACATATGAAAGAATGAAGATCTTGTTTGGGCAGAAGGATTCCATGAGTTATCACACCCCTTTAATCCCAGTTCACTATGTCTGTCTGTGTGCTTCATATAGGATATCATTCCTCCAGAAAGCAGTCACTGGGAAAGAAAAAAAAAAAAAAACCAACAACAAAAAAAAAACCACCAAACATTCTTCATAGAATTGCAGGTGCAAATGTTCAGTTGAGCTTTATTATATATTTCTGTCAACATTTATGAAATTCAGTAGTCTGAAGTCACAGAGACAGCCAGTTTGGAGGTTTTTTTTTTTTAATTAATACCTCCAGGTTTCTTTTTCTCATCTATTTTTGGAAATACAGTAAAAAGCCTCTGTCACAGAGACAAGAATTCAAGCAGAATTACAAGGAATGAGTTTTAAGTGAAGCAAGAGGGGAAAAAAACAATGTCGTTCTCCTTTGAACTCTGACAAGACAGATGAACCGACAGCTAAGATACTTGAAAGTGAGACTGATGGCTTTCCAGGGCAGATGTCTGACTGCAAGTTCAGACCATCCATGTCAGAACTTGATGTGAGGTTTAAAGTACAGAATGACTGAGTTATCTAAGAAAAAGGTATTAGTGAGCCTGCAAGCAGGAAAGGCAAATAATTACAATAGTAAGGTATCCAATACCTTTAAAACAGTGTGAGATGCCTGAAAGACTTCATGCTTTTCAGCTGTGGGGAGATTCCTCTCTTCTTTAACAAGGCAATTAAGGCACTGCACACTCACTGTGTCATTAGAGAAATGATTTCTTATGAAAATTCCCCTCTCCCTCTCTTCTTTAAAAAAAAGTTGAGAAATGTCAGTCTCCTGCTATATGCTACGTATAACCACTCTCCCTATCTGGGTAAATTCTTAAAGTGTCCTACGTAAGGGATGTGAAAATTTGTTATAAATCAGGCCCTAAAAATGTGACAGCCAACCCCATGCTGTAATCCTAGAGGCAGAGTGGAAAAGATTTCTGGAAAATAACTGGAATTTTGCCAAGAATTTTTAAAAGCTCGAATGTCTTGGGGGAATGTATAAAAACAACCTCATGATTCAGCTAACCAAAGCAGTAAAACAAGTTCCCGAAGGCGGGGATCAACACTTTGAATATATTTGGGTGCTCCTTTTAATTCCTGTGCTTCTTTTTCCTTCTTCTGTCCTTTTCCCAGTTCCTTTCTACTTTGAAGTTAGGAAGGTAGACTTTAGAAGTTACTTTTCCTTCTCACCCAGCCAACAGGGAAGGGTCATAAGTAGGGCAGCCAGTTCCCTCTTCTTTGAAAGCCGTATGACTGTTCTACTTTAGATACACATCCTCCTGCCTAAGCCCCAGCACAGTGTGAGACCTATCACAAATTTATAAGCTCCAGTTCTCTCCTGTATACTATCTAGTCCAGATGTGTAACAGTCATCTTAATTATAGCTCAAATGTAGAAAGCATGTCATCATCATCTTTCACGATTAAAACAGAGCAAAACATCTATAGCAGTGTCTTATAAAATGGTGTTTAATTTCCAGCACACAAAAGACCACTATTGCACCACTAAAAAACGCTTGTATGCATTGTCTGTTGTGGAAGCAGGAACTCTCTAGTTTGAAGAAGCCTGTCTGACCCCCATGAATAATGAACTATTTAAGAACTTCAAGAAGAATCCTCAAAGAGATCAATCAAGTGAGACCAAAGGGAATGACAAGAATACAAGATTAAAGAAGAGTCTCTGATATAATCTTGACAAAGTTGATTTGAGCACCGAAAAGTTTAATAGGTTTAACTGATAGTGCCTAAAGCTAACTCACACTTTATGGCTTGAGTGATCCTTGTTGGAAGCATTTTAGATATATGTGAGCAGTCTCAAATCATTTGGACTTTCTAAAGTATGTTCTATTTGGCTATTAGTTAGGAAAACACGGTGGCTATTAGAACCTTATTAGTTCTCAGAGGTATCAGGATAATATGATTTAATCAACAAATGAAGAACTTCAAAGAACAAGAAAGCGTCAGGCATCAACTATATCTATGTTAGCAAGTGGTATGACAGAGTAGATAATCGATTGAAGCAGTCACTGCTGATGCCTCTACCCTGTACGCAGTTCACAGGTTTTATTTCAGATTTTATCTGAGCTCGTGAACCAAATGACTCTTCCATATACATGGTTCAACACTGCTTAAAGGACCAACCCTTGGTTTAATGCCCCTTGGGGTTGTAGTGCATCACATAAGCATTTGGAGCAGATCTTTCAGTTTGCCAACTTAATAACTTTAGGTCCAAATATGAAAATAAAAGGATTTTGGAAAGCCAAAGGAGGACAAGCCTTTCATATTTCAGGTGAAAACAACAACAAAACAGAAACTCCCTCACATGCTTGTTAGATTTTAGGGCATTTTGACACTGCCAGAAGCTTGGGGTTCTAAGGACAATAGAATAGCAATGCAAAAGACAATGTGGCACCACCAGCAGTGGCAACCTTTCCATTTAAACAGTTTTGTAAAAGATGAAAGGCATTAACAAGGCAAGAATTTCTATTTAGAAATAACATAAAAGAAAAATGCTGAGGAGCCTTTAATGACTGACTGAATTTCAAAAGAAAACTTGACCAAGGCTGCCACTGAATTCCCTAGAAGAGGTCCCAGCTGTTCACTGTATCCAGTGCTTCCAGTAAAATGAAGAATCTTCAACTACTACCAGGAAACCTGTAGTCTTCCCTCTTCGTGATAGAAAAATGGTTTGTTTCTAAAAATATATTGGTTTTTTTTTTCTGAGGTAACTTATTTCAGATATGAAAAACAATGAAATAATCCTACAGGCTCAAGAAGGGGGCCCATGTGAACCTCATGAGGTTCAACAAGGCCAAGCGCAAGGTCCTGCACCTGGGCCAAGGCAATCCCTGGCATTGATACAAGCTGGGGGATGAAGGGATTGAGAGCAGCCCTGCGGAGAAGGACTTGGGGTTATCAGTGGATGTAAAGCTGAACATGAGCCATCAATGTGCACTTGCAGCCCAGAAAGCCAACCATGTCCTGGGCTGAAACAAGAGAAGTGTGGCCAAAAGGTCGAGGGAGGAGATTCTCCCCCTTTACTCTGCTCTCATGAGACCCCCCTGCAGTCTTATGTCCAGTTCTGGAGGCTCCAGCATCAGAAGGACATGGACCTGTTGGAGCAGGTCCAGATGAGGCCACAAAGATGATCGGGGCCAGGAGGACCTCCCCTATGAGGACAGGCTGAAAGAGTTGTGGATGTTCAGCCTGGAGAAGAGAAGGCTCCGGGGAGACCTTGTTGCAGCCTTTCTATACTTCAAGGGGACTTATAAGAAAGATGTGGACAGACTTTTTTAGTAGGGCTTGTGATAAGATGAGGGGTAATGTTTTTAAACTAAAAGAGGGTAGTTTTAGACCAAATGTAAGGAATAAGTATTTTATGATGAGGGTGGTGAAACGTTGGAACAGGTTGCCCAAAGACGTGGTAGATGCCCCATCCCCGGAAGCATTCAAGGTCAGATGTCCCTGTTCATTGCAGGAGGAGTTGGACTAGATGACCTTTAAATGTCCATTACAATCCAAACTATTTTATTATTCTAAGATTCTACGAATCCAGCACTCTGAGGAAGAAGGAAAGCTCAGCATCTGAAAATCCCACCAGTTTAGTAATGCTCCCATGGAATGAGGGAATACAGTCAAGGAGATTTTAATTAACGACATCATCCATATGCACACGTTAATCTTATGAACAGCAGGAAGTATACCACTAGACTTCCCATCCCAAATCTCTAGTTCGTTTAAAATTTCTGTCCAGTGCTTGATTTCTAGTTCTCCAAAAATACTGAGCCAGCAATCAAGAATGGAATTTAACATTATGCCAGACATAAAGAAAAAGTATCCATGACTCGAAGTCTGCAGACAAAGCATTTTTGAGTCACACTGAAATTCAGTCTCAGGATCCAACATATGTAAACAAACTGTTCCACCAGCCATGTGATGGGATCAGTGTACAATAAGTTGCAAAGTGAGGAAATACAGTAAAGTATGTGAAAACTAAGCCTCCCCACTAGAGATTACTCCTCCACAGAACTAACCAAGAAAGGACTATACACCATCTCAGAGAATTGGAGGATCATAAAACAAAGGACTTAAAATTATCCCACTACCCTTCAGAGCACATTTCATCAAGAACTGGCCTTTTGTCAGGGGAGGCACAAATAAACTTCAAAGTGATCAAGAATATGAGAATACTTCTACAATCAAGTGTCTGCTTTATAAACAAAATGGCTAATTTCAATCTTATCTTTCCTTATTTGAGAAGAACAATACTTCACCCCAGCACAGCACATGAAGGAACATATACTTAACATCCTTTAAAAATACAAATAACCCCAGTGGGTAAAACTGTCCTATTCACAGACGTTAAATGATGCACAAATTAAAGCACTTCACCAAATCAAGGCCTCAGTTTGCTGAACCAGACTTCCCAATTGGCAGCAAATAAGCCTGAAGTACAAACAAGAGGTTTCTGTTATCTGTAGCATGAAGTGTCAGGTGTTACTTGTATATTTTAGTACAAAAGCTTTGCATTTCATAAGCCCAGCAGCAAAAGTGAGTGCTTAAAAAAAAAGCAATCAGTCTTATTCTTTTCTCATTTATACCTACATAAGAAATTGAAGTCAAAGGAGTTTCACTGCCACCTGCAATCATTAATATCAGCACAGAGGTATACATGAACATAATTTGGCAATGAACTTCAATGTGAACAAAACTAGTGAACCCCAAGCCTCATCATGTAAAAAAAAAAATAACTTCTGCACTATCTAGTGCTTACATTTTGTACTTTCAAAGGCCCCTCTAAGTATCATAAGATTTTTCAATTGTTAATTCAAAGAGAAAAAAAGAAAAGGAGACATTAAGCATGGGCAGAGCGCTCTTTCCACCTCTAGCGATGTGAATTTTGACTATTTTTAGCACACCCTAACTGAGGTTTTCTTAATTGACTTCTCGAGTAAAAGGCCCTTCTCTGAGAGTTCTCCATAGACTGGATTGCCAGTGACACCAGTACGAGTTCCTCGTGTGACACTCTGATGTATTTACAACTCTAACCCTACCAAGAATTCTTGAAGAGGCAG